TCAGGAAATAAAAGGTCATGCAGTCTCTGGTTTATTTGCTAGAATATAAAATCTAGGAATCTTTACACCTAAATGAAAAAGGTTGGATTATCCTCAGGCTGCCATGTTGTAGGGAAATGCAAGCCACATAGAAATGTCAGGTATAGGTGGTCAAGTTGACAAGTCAAGCTAATCCCAGTCTCATAAGCCACCAGACATGTAAGTGATGAAGCCAATGAAGCCATCTTGGAAGTAGATTCACCAGCTGCAAATTCCAGATTTGCATCATGGTATCAGTGTTTAGAAACAAATCTTTCCTTCTCTATCTTTATGAATTCTGGAGCATAATAAAATGTTGTGATTTAAAACCACTAAATCTGGTGCTATTTGTAACATAGCAGAAGATTGCCAGTACAGTAAGTCAATTACCTGTGGATTGGCAGTTTAAGTTTTGCTTTGTTTGTTTGTTTGTCTGTCCTTTAGTCAATCTACTGAAAAAATATGTGGTGTATATGAATGTTATTCAGTTAGGTTCATCTTGGAAGCGAATGCCCTTCCAGATTAATTTACTAGACTGCAGATTCTTACTCACTGCCAAGAAATGTTATCCTGACAAACCACTTGAGATTTTGTGCTCAACATTCTGTGTTCTTGGTATATTTCCATGTTGGTCACCTAAATGCACAAGAAGCTGGCAGTTTTAGAACAGCCAATGTAGCTGTCAAATTATAGGGAAATATATCATCTGGGGATCAGTGTCACAACGAGATACTAAATTTTGTGATGTGGGTCAACTTTTTTCTTTCTTTCTTTTTTTTTTTTTTTTGCTTTTAAGACTGAGAATTGTTGTGATTAAAAATACCAGGCAGAGATCAGCATTTGAGAGTTATCTGCCTATTAAAGATCTGAGTGTTCTTAGAGCTGAAAGGGCCCTTAGAAACTCACTCAGGAAGCTCCTTATCCTGCAGATGAGACAGGGGGAGGGGTATGCCAAGCTCTCCCACTGGAACCACAGGCTTCTGACTCCAAATCCCAGTATGATGCTCTTTCCTCATACTAAGTGTTTTTTAGCCTGCCTCCAAATGATATTTTGGGTGCTGAGGCAGGTCACATGAACCAGCTAAAATTGTTCACACCACTTTGTATGCACTTTTGTGCCCATTTCTGGAGAGAATCTACGCCTTGTGTTGATTCTTACAGAGATTGGTGACCCACTGCACTTGGATATCCAGTCATTTAAAAACTAGCAGCGTGAGTTCAGTCTTGTACTTCCCCATACCTGTATCAAATCCTCCTGGGGACACTGCCTTGTTGTTTAAGATCAGTGCATCATGGGCGCTTCTTTCAGAAGGTTAGGGAAAGTTGGAGCACTTAGCAACCAACTCATCTTACTGCCTGTTTCAAAAAATTTGTCAAGTACTCACATTTTAAAATCACTTTTGTGATTCAAAAGCAGCAAGCAATAATGGGCTAATTAGGCATTATTTCTCTTCCTAGCCCTTCAGCTAAGACAGGGAGATCTGGGATCTCTACAGAAAAAGCCTGAAAGCTTTTTCAAGTAGAGCAGTCTCCATTGTGGGTGTACAGCAGCCTTTTCACATGGTATTTTAGGAACCCAGATTCTTTACATTGGGGTCCTGCCATCTTCTTAAGTCTAGGAGTCCTTTCTGTGTAGCCAGTAGAAAGGGAGAGTTGGGGACTGGTTTGGGGACCGAGATTATTAAGAAGGTAGAGTGCCACCACCCACATTCCAATGATAAGAAATAAGTCACATTGTCCATCTCTATACAATGGTGGTGGTGGTGGTGGGCCTTCCTAGCAACAATTCTAAACTAATGAACAGAAGTACAAATCTCTTTTGGGCACCTCCTCTGCCATGGGCAGTGAGCATATTTCGCATCCTAAATCTCAAAGAGGATGAAGTTTTTGAGATGGGAGTTTCAGACAGCCTGTGAAGTCTGCGCGGGGGTTTCATCCTGACTTAGTGGACATCTTAGGAATTAAATTGATCCTCAGAAACTATAGGTTGATTGAAAAATAGTGTAATGATGGGAAAATTACAATTCCTGGGTAATAGGATATTTTATTTCTTTAAGGAGTGATACAGAGGGTCCAATCTGGAATTTGAGTTGGTTTATATTATAATAGTGCTTGTATAATTATAGCAAAGAGAACTCTGTTTTCAGTTTTGCAAAAGTATTGCTGCAAGTTTAGCTTTGTTATTACATGTTTGCCCTTAAAAATGTTTTCATGCTTGGCAGAAATTATAACAACATATGCCCTTACCCTATGGTTTTTATTTTCGTTGTGTTGCTTAGTTGCTTCTTGATTATTTTTATTTGTTTTATACAAGCTCAACTTCTCTTCTCAAATTATCTTATGATTTTTATTCGCGAATGGGGATTGGCTATGGTATGGCATTATGATGAATTTCATTCCAGCTTTTCACATTAAGATGCTTTTGATGTCACATGGTATTAGAATTGGTGACCTGTGAAATATATTTCTTCTATCACGTACTGGAGCAACTCTGTTTTTTTTTAGATTTTATTGGTTCACTGAACTCCCTCAATCTTGGCAGTAATGTAAAGGACTAAGTAGTTTTTTTTTTTTTTTTTTTTTAAGTCAGAGTCTTTATGTGACTCACCCAATGGTGTGCTGAAACAAAATTGTACTGGCCCAAGAAAGTCGAATATTGTATATCAAGTAGATATACAAACTCACAATTAAAGAAATTATATTAAGAACTACAATTTCCTAAGTTTTCGGTACACTTTACTACTGTCTATATTTTGGGGGCTATTGTATCTATCTTGTCCATATGGTAGAAATGCCATAGAATTACATGTCTCTTCAAACAACACATTCAATGCTGCCACCTAAGTTGCTTAATCTTGTCCTGGTGGTCACTGGTTTTTCAATGTTTGACAGCCGCCCCTGTAATCACCATGCAGGTCCTGCTCCTTACAGAGTAGTGGTGAGGCTTGAAAGAACCAGCTAATGCAAAGGACATTTTAGATACGTAGCAAAGACAGTTGCTTTTGAGGTCATCTCCCATCTCCATGGAGCCTAAAAATGATTAGTGTTGCCAGCTCATTGTAGTCCAAGCCCTCCAAAAGCGCACAGGATCTCTTCCTTTTCCTCTATTATTAAATAGGTTCAGCAATACTTGACTCCATCCCTTCCAGATATATATTAGAGTAAAAAAATATTCTAGCCCATGTGAGACCACTTTCAATAATTAGGATGCACTAATTTAATTTTTCTCAAATTTTTAGAGGAATTCTAATTTTTCTCACATTGGAAGTTGAAAAGTAGTTTTGCACAGGTTTGCTGATCTGTTCTCAGTGATGACTGAGAAGACAACATGCTTCTTCAAACCTCTATCATTATAGTTCAGAAAGTAGGGTGATTCTCCAGTGTTGGTTCCTGGAGAGATGCACCATGGTGTCTGGAACATGACCTAGTCTTCTTGAGATGCTGGTGAATAAGAACAAAATGATAGGATGTGGGCAAAGGTCATCAGTTCTCTTGTCTTGGGAAGTACTATTTTTCATTGTGGATTCCTTTCGGATAATTTTCACATTACTATGTTCTATCTCATAGGAAATGGTGATGATGAGAATAGATGGTAAGGTGGAGGAGTTGCTTTTCTTTTTTTTTTTATTTGGATTTAAATTGTTTAATTTTATATATTTTTTACGTCATTCTTCATTTTCATGCAATGTATGCTTTATCATCTTGGGTATAGCCTCCGTGAAATTCCCACCACCAATTCACCCATGTACCATCACCATAGTCCCTGTGCTAATCCCACCCCTGTTTTGATCCAGCTCCCTCCTCGCCCCCTGCAGAATGTCTCTGGTTTATAGTTGCCTGTTGAATTTGATTTTTGGAGTTGATTTTTAATGCCATTACATGGAAAAAACTAGAAACCATGGTGAGCCTCTTCTTCAATGTCATGTTTTAAAAAACTAAATGTTTGTGACCCTGTGAATTGTAAAGGTCTAGAACTAATCCATTTGACTTAAAATGATTGTTTTGGAAGTCGAAACACGCTGTGATGACATTATTCCATAGGTGATTGTATCATACCATGGACGTGTGTCAATAATTTTGTTTACTCCTGTCATTAGTTACTTTCATAAAAGTGCTGATAATTACTGCGAAAAGCAAAGCTTGAACTGAATATACTTTAACTGCATCTCTTCTCTTCTGCCACAACAATCTTCAAAGTCTTGACAGAACTGTTCTTTTGAGAGAAGCCATGCAAAAAGCAAATCGTCAAGCTTAAAATTGTAATTATGTTGTTTGCTTTTGACCTAAGGAAATGTTCATCATTTTCCAGAAGTGCTGGATCTACATCTGGCTTGAGCCTTTTTTGTCTCCCCTGTAACACTGTTGATATTAGTGCCAATTTTAATTTCTTGGAATCATGAGTGCATAAATATATCACCCACAGATGTGACTTTGAACGGGGACCGAAACTGTAAATTAGGAAGCAAGAGATTCACAGGGTTTCATCAGATCATCTCACTCCCCAAAGTGACACAGTTGTACTGAAAAGGTTTGAAATTGCTCATTTCAAACCTTCTTCAGTAGCAAAATGCCATGCGTGCAGCGAATTTCCAACCACCTTAGTCATTTTCTTTCCTCCGTTTCTTTGCTGTGTTTGTATTGGGGGCACAGAGTAATGTAATTTAGTAAATTATGATTTGATGGCTGGGCAGCAGCCCCAGTGTTGAACAGTATTTGGATTATGATTACTAGCTGGCTTTGTCACAGTTGACATTAATTATTGATGGAAGTTTCAGAAATAGCGCATGTGCCAGGAGCTTTTCACGGGAACGCAGGCTCCAGGCAGGAGGGATGCTAAAGAGAACGGGGGAAGAGGCACCTGTGGCTTGTTTATGTCTGTGCACGGTGAACCTGGAGCCAGTGGGCTGTGTGGTGCTTGTATGAAGGTCATGGTGTAACAGAAGATGAACCGTCAGGCTTATTTCTATCGTGTTCCTCCCCAGGAATTGCACCGAAGAAGCCAACTTCAGCCGGAGCCAGCCAAGACGAAGGCTCTCCAGACTGTCATTGAAATGAAGGTAGGAGCTGGTCACATTTGTCAGAAACAGCTGTGCCTCTGGAGTTTGTTCTAACTTGATGGTGACTAACATAAACATGGAAAATGAACCTTGTGTTTTTCTCTAGGCACCCTAGTGGGTGCTTTTCTTCTGAATCTTTTAGCCTGCCTGGGTACATTTAATTTATTGGCCCTTTAATTAGGATGCCTTTTCCGGGCAAAACAATAAAGGGCTCAAGTGTCCTTTGGCTGAAAGAAGCTGGGTTCGTTTTCAGAGCATGGCCAATGCTTTCAACCATAAGGGAGGTTTTGTATGTGCTTTAAAAGTACATTTCTAAAGCTGGAATAATTCTTTTTTTCTTCCCATTCATACTACAAAGAAAAGACATCTTTGAGAAACTAAGATTTGGCAGAGAAGTTATTTTATGTGCAATGGAGTTGTTAAATAATTAAAATTATGCTGTCAGCAAAATTCACTTTTCAAGGAATAATAATGCTAATGCTTTCTCACAACTCCAATTTTTTTCTTAGTTAAATTTGGAGGTGATAATAATTTCCTCAATATTCACAGGCTATCCCATTTTGCTGTGGAAACATAGAGATATGCTATAGAAAGTATTCAAAGATCCTCCTGGCTGGATTTGGGTATTTAAAGAATAATGAAGTAAATGATGATGACTAAGTCATGACCTATGGTTAGGAAACAGATCTAAATGAAACCCAGTTGCATGGTCAGTATTTAGAAATTTGAAGTCTTTTTACTCCCATATTTTGCCAGAAGGAAGCAAATAGTATTTACTGTAAGAATAAATAATTCTTGATTTAAATTGTCCCATTAAAAAATTATAATGACAGTGTTTGCTGTCTGTAATTCTGTGCTTGAGTTAATACTTAAGAGTTTGCTGGTGACCATCAGCATCTGAGAACTCTGAAGCATGCTGATAGATGATTTTTTCCCCTTTCTTCCACCACATGATTTTGAATTGTCTGCCAAAAACAATTCCTACATTTGGGGAAAAAAAAACTAATATGAGTTATTGAATTCTTGGCATGTACAAATCTGACTTGGATATTTTTTTGTAGTCAATGACAATGTCTTTATCCAAGTGGATTTTTGTGGAAACAACATATAACTTTTGCTTTAAGATTTTATGTTCCACAATGAGGTTACATGAGTCATGCATTTGCAGCAAATTGGTGTAAAAATATCATCAAAGGACCAGATACCAATTGGATTAAAAAATAAATGTTAATCCTGGCTAATGAATGGTCTTGAATTTATGTAATTTTATTTTCTTTTGAAAACAAACTTATCATTCTACACTTGGTGGGGAGTGATTCAGAAATTCATATTTGCACCAAACTTGAAACTTGATTAAAGCTTTAAAATAAAAAGGGACAAACATGATGAACAGTTTTATTTTATTTTATTTTATTTTGGAGATAGTCATTCAGTCCCCCTTCCATCTGGCTCTACACCTATCTCCCCTGTTCCTAGTATAATTAGTAACGGAAAATAAGATGTATATATATCTAGCTCCAAACTATCATTGTTTGAAAAAGACTGAGTATCTAAGTCTTCAAAGAAATCAAAAATGGTATCTCTTACAGTGCAGTGAGCATATTCCTGGTACAGGCCTCTATACAAAGACAATACTTTTCTGTGACTTTTGTCAGTAGATACCATGTTTGACTCTAGCTGCCTACTACTAGCATCATCTGTTTTATTAGACAACAAAATCATAAATAAAAGCACTTGCTTTAAGCTATCTACACAGGAAGGTATAAAAACAGGATTTTTAGAGATAATTCACTTGTATATAGTATGAGTAAATTGAGTCTAGAGTTTTTCTTAAATGGATCCAATGATGCTGATTTATACGAGAACATGTTTTTAGGGCAAATGATGATCAGTCATCAATCATCAATGACATTTGCTAGGGAATCAAGTCTGGAATTTTTCTGTTGTCTCTTGGATGCTTGGTAATTTACAAAGCATTGCCTTCTGTTTGTCAGGGCAAAGTCTGAGTCCCATTACCATCTCTATTCAATAGGCATAAATTGAGTTATAGAGGCAGCTGGTAGAGGGTCATCTTCTCAGCCATATATGTAGCTTGTGATAGTGACTGTGATCTCCTGTGAGCTTGTTCATTACATCCCTGTGAATTAGGAGGGAATATTGGAAACCTAGATTTTACAAGTCATAGAGATTGACTATCAAGTAGAACTGACCCTTAAACCTCTTGTGGGTGGAACTTGAAACACCATTGTGTTTTAACTTAAACAACTTTGGGTAAACGTCTGTGTCATCTTGTGCGTTGGCAAAATCTAAAGTTAAAAGGAGCTTTCCCAGAGTAAATTGGACCTATAATTTCAGGGAAGTGACATGAGTTAAGGGTTTGGAAATCATCTCTATTTGTTCTTTGCCCTTTACTTCGTAAAAGGAAGGGTGAACTTCTGACCCCTTATCTTCTCCACAAATATACTTTGCATTTACTTGAGAAAGCATTTGCTGTGAAAAGTCTGTGAAATCCTGCCCCAATTCAAGTGCTTTTATAATCACAGTCTGATAGTTCTAGTAGACCTCTGTGTGCTGCTCTGGACTTGTGGAGTTGTGAAAATTTGTTTCTGTAGGGCAAGTGTTGGGGAGGGCCATTTGCCCATATCACAGTGGCAGGCAATTCTGTAGTAGCCTTCACATCTACTGTCAACCTATTGAGCTGGGGAACTAGAGATGGAGACATCTGCATGATAATAAAAGGAAACCAAGTGAGTGAAGCTATTTGTGATTTATCTTCTTGCAGGAAGCTCCAAGTTTTAATTTTGATTCTGATTTGGTCTGGTAGATATGTTCTAGGGTTGCGTTTAGTGTATGTGTGTTTCTCAGAAAATTTAGTTTTCTCATAGATGGTGTGATGCTCCTCCTTTTCTTGCTTTTGTGTGTAAAGATTCTTCACTAAACTCCTTTTCTACTTTTATGGAAAACTGTCAATAAAAATGGCAGTTGAAAGGCTTGCCCTCCTTTTATTCTTTAATGTTAACTCCTCTGAAAGGATATGTTTTTAATCTGCTTTTGTTATAAACTAGACATGCCGTAAATATGGTATTTGAAAGTTTCACTTTCTTTAGCTCGTTCATATAGCTGTGCCCACTAAATTGTAATGAAAGTATTTGTCAATTGATCTCAAAAATTGTTCTTTTTGCTAGTTAAAACCTTTAAATTAATTAAAGTATAATTTGAAGTCACCAAAGCTAAAAGAAAATGTATTGGTTAACTTAACTGAAAAACACTGGAGTGTTGCTTCAGGTACAGCTTGATCTAGGGGCTCAAAAGATGTTAACAGATCCCATTTTCTCCTATTCCCTCTCTTACATTGGCTTCCTTCATCTGAGCTCCATTTTCAGATAATTTCTTTCTTCCTGTCTGAGCAAGATAACTGCAGCAGCTCTAATAATCACAAAAGGATGAAACAGGGAGGAAGTTGCATCTTAAAACAATGAAAATCCCAACCAATTCTAAAAATAGTGGCAGTTACTGAGATGGAGCATCTTGGGAGCCCTGGCTGAAAAGAAAATGCATGAGTTCCAATTTCTCATTTTCTAAATAGATTAAACAATACGCCATCAAGAAAACAAACTCAGTTAGCACTGAATTCAGCAGATGGAATGTACATAGGTTACATAAGGGATTTATTTATTTATTTTTAAAGATTTATTTATTTATTTATACAAGAACTGGGGTACAGACCAGATGTGTGGGAGGGTGAAAGGATTCACCAGAGACAGAGTGGGGAACAGAACAGGCAGACTGATGAAATACACTGCTGAGGGGAGCAGCGGGTGAAACAGGAGAGGTCTGCTTCACCATTTGGGACGCTCTCAGGCTGGCCGGGATTGAACCGGGGCTGCAGAGGCTGCGGACAGCTTCACAGCACTGTGCTCAATCGCTTGTGCCACCAGGGGAGGCCCCAGGGGATTTAGTAAAAGTTACAGAAAGGTACTTTATCTGGCGAATTTGTTCTTTAAAGTAGATTGAGAAGCTAGGTACATAATGTCTCCATGTGACAGTATTTCCATGACCTCTGAAGTGAGGATTGTGAGTGTTTAGCTTTCCAATCACATGACCATTTCAGGACACTTGTGTGTCGTGAGTGGTTCTTCTTGAGTAACATTTTTTCCCGATAGGATTTTCCTTTTTTTAAAAGATTATTTATTTATGCATACAAGAACTGGGGTACAGGCCAGAGGTGCAGGGGGTTGAGAGGATTCATCGGAGACAGAATGGGGAACTGGCAGACTGACTGAAATACAATGCTGAGGGGAGCAGTGGGCGAGCCAGGAGAAGTCTGCTGCGCCATGTGGGTGTCTCCCTGGCCAGCCTGGGATCGAACTCGTGCTGCAGTGGCTACAGGTAGCTTCATAGTGTTGTGCTTAACCCCTTGTGCCACCAGAGAGGTCTCCCCTGCAACCAGGATTTTCAATGGGAACTTATTAGTAAGCAGTTCAAGACAGAGCTTAGTTAAATCGCTAGCTAGTAGTTGTACTGTTGATGAAAGAATATGGCTTTGCATTCAGGTACTAAACTCCAGTTATGAAGATGATCATTTGTTATTAAAACAAAAGATCCAACCTTGTCTTTGTGCTCAAGCAAATGACTACTGTTCTTCTGGATGGTTGACCTGCTCTTCAGTTGGCTTAAGTTTCCTTTAAAAGCTATCTTGATGTTTGGTCAAATTCAGCCAGTTCAGTTCTAACAGGAATGAAAGAAATGCACTGGAACTTTGAGAAGCCAGAGCTACTTACTACTTGGCAACTTTTCCTAAGGAAACACAGTTAGGAAGGGAAAGATTTCGAATCTAAAATCTAGACCATTGAATGCATCCCAATTCCCAGTGAGAACTTCATTTGAGTCCTGGGATCTAGTTCAGAACCCCATGAAGTGGCTGCAATGTTTTCTTTGGCTCTAGGTTCTACCTACATTTATTTCATTCATCTTTAGACTATTTCTTGTTTGGGACTGAA